CTTCCGCCGACGTACTATGGAATATAAGGAATGGGTCTGGACATCCTCATCTACAAGCGGTGGATGCACCAAGTCCCCTACCTAGCCACCACGTAGTAAGAAATGTGGCGGAGTTGTGAACTGGGGCGCCATTTCCAGTACGTGAGACTGAGTCCGACGCAAGAACCTTCCTAAGTGTTAGGAGTGCTTATGTCAGAGAGAGAGAGAGAGAGAGAGTGTGTGTGTGTGTGTGTGTGTGTTTTATGTAGGTGGACGCAGTTTACCCTCGTGCCCGGGAGGGAATAAGCCCCTCCATTTATCCATACATTTTATTAATTAATAAAAGAAAATGTTTTACGGTTACATCATTCCATCAAATTCATTGAAAAATACTGAAAACCAAATTTTTGATAATTTCTTCAATAAAATACCCTTTAAGTATTGGGGTTCTATATTAAAGCCATACACTAAAACTATATGGATATGAAACAATAATACATTTTAAATACAAAAAAGGCTTCAGGAATTTACAACTTTACAAAAATTTAGCTATGCTATTATATGTGTTTGCCTATCAAAATATTTTTTAAAAAGAAGTGACAACTTAAAGGATTTTCAACAAAACATAATAAAATTACAGGTACATTTTAAAAAGGTTGGAAATAAAAAATGTATACGTGAGCTTGCCTATAAAAATATTTCTGAAAATACGTGACTTAACTTAAAAGAAAGGATTTTCAACAAAACATAATAAAACTGCAGGTACATTTTAAAAGGTTGGAAATAACAAATGTTTGTACAAAAATAAATGTATTAAAAGGTTTCTTGGTTTTATCCATAGATTAAATTGTCATTTATTTTTTACGATATATGATATATAAAAATTAAAATTGTTTTAATGAAGAACGGTGGATTTTCATGTTGTAATACAAAATAAAAATAACAAATAAGAGTATTCTACAAACACACTAGATATATATATTTTTTATTTTATATGGTAACAGATATATTTTTTCCCTTTAACAGAACATTTAAGGACAACAGAACATATGGAGTTAAGAACGATTAGAGAGAACTGGAGATGGCGAAATTTCGAACGGATATGGCAAGAATATGCGCACCAGACGACCAAAGCAGCCGTCTACTATAAAAAGTAACTGGTATTTCTTGTGCAGCATGAAGATTTTTTTATGGAGGAGGGATAGACAAATGATATGGAAAAACGGGGACACAATAACCGTGGTCTTTGAGTCACTTCCCTTTGAAATCGTAAACATGTCGACCGTTGAGTCATGCCAGCTCATTTATGATATCAGCTCAATAAGTACCTCATCCTTAATGTGTAAATTATTAGATCAAGATAAATAAAACAAATTGAAAAACAAGCAATGAGACCAAACAAGGCTCAAAAGCCAAAGTATTGATAGCAATTAATTGCTGTTTGAACATTTTTTTTTCAGTGGGATATCGAAAAGCATGATGGTAGTCATGGGTCAATCCTCTATTAAAGTATGTATCACAACCAGCACATATTAGTAGTTGGTACAAATTTTTAGATAAACTGGCATCGGGTCGCTGTTGGGTCGTCTACATTTTTTTATATATTTTTTTTTAGTAACTGGTTGTGTTAAAGCTGATGGTGGCTGTTGGTTTACGAGTCGGTGAACACATGTTGAACTCGTGGACACTGACTGAAAATAACTCGCAAACCAACATCCAGGTGAGTTTTTCCGACGTAAAAAAACTTTAGTATGCAAAGGAAGCGGAACATAAAAAGAACTTTCTTAGGCCAAACCTCCTCTTCCCTATGAAAACTGAACTGTAAAGATAAAAAATAACAATACAAAAATCTGAAAGTCTGAACCACCTACACAACCACATGCTTTACATGATTCGACATGCAGGAGAACTGAACGAAAAAAATGAAAATTCTGACAATCATGAAGTCTAACTTTATTCAAAAATATATATAGTCATAATTGACAGTATTAATTATTTAAATTGATTATACTTTTTATCTAAGGTTTTGGTTTACGTGAAAAAACTAGCCGAAGGTCGTAGGTTCGAATCCCGCTCATGAGACTAGCTTTTTCATCTCAACCAAGACCTTAGGTAAAAAGTATAATTAATTTAAATAATTAACACGATCAATTATGACTACTAAATACAATAAATATATGGACAAAAATTTATTGTGGATAAAAGTATAATTAATTAAAATAATTAAATTTTTAGTTCATTCAACATTTTGTCCCGTGTCAGAATGTACAAGCAATATCTACGCAAATCTTTTCTCAATAAATTGAATAGTGAATTGATATATTGATATTGATGATAGTATTGAATTAATAGTGGTGGGAGGTGTTTGTTTTTGTACAGGCAATTGCCAAGATCAGTTCGGAAACAATTTTCCTAATTTTTGCTACCTACGTGTTTTTCTTATGTGCTCTTTAAACTATATCTTCAGAGTAGAGAAGAGGCGAAATATCCTTAATACAGATTTAAAAAATGCGACAAGTCAATGCGATTCGGGCGAAACTCGCAAAAATAAAAGGTGTCAGGTTCTTACTATCCCTGTCTATTATCCTTCAGAGAAGCCGTACCTTAATTATTAGGGACCACAGTAACAATGAGCGGTAGATCGTGTTTGAGGCTTGGGTTTATCCTGTTAAGGTGAGCTTGACCTCGGCATTTCCTTCTCTTTCAATCCAATTCCTGCCTAGGAGATTCCAACAGACCCTTCCCAACCCTTGGTTGTAAGGGGGGTTTCCAGGCACAAAATAATAGTGTAGCCTTGAGAACTTGACACACTCTCTAAAGCACAAGCTGATTCGTGTTTCCGGACGCGTAAGACCTCTTCAGCACCCCTGCGCTTGCATTTGGAAGATAGTAGAAGGAAGTGCTATAGCATGCGAGGATGCAAAGATTACGCCTACCCAGTTCCTCGAAATGCGTTAAGGCAGTTGGCTTGCGAGCTGACCGCGGACGGCGAGTGTTGTATCAGAGGTGCGGCGGGTTAGGGTGCCAGATCCTGTCTGCATAGACGGGGGAGGGTGCGAGGGTGCATAATCATCCGCCCTAAGGGGCAGCGAAAAATCGTTCCAAGTCCATCCCAGCTGTAGGGGAATGGACTCGTAGTGGATTAGTGGTGAGGTCCCCGGCGAGTACGTACGGAGGAATCTGTTGTTTTGTTTGGTGGGCGTCCTTTACTGAAGGCAGGTTCCTCTAGGGGGTGGTTAGAAATTCTACTTTAAACGAAACCGCGGCCCAACACTCAGAGATAGAGTTGTCGTCTCTATCTAGGGAGCGCGTTGGGAGACCGGCAGATGCATTTCAGCTTCTTTGGGGGGTAAAGGGTATCCCTTTACGCGCGACATACGGTTATGTGCACAATGTTGACCCACCTCTTCGGACGGGGCAAGCGTGAGAAGTCACAATGTCTGTTTGATTAATCTATGGATTTGGTGGCTTCTACACCGAACCTCACGGTGTTCACACTATCTACCTTGAGCGGAGGTGAGTCACTCCTAACTGGAGAAAAAGTATGATAAGGCCTATGTGCAAGGTGTACACGTTGAAGAACCTCATTGTCTAAGACATTGCGACCCCAATGGGAAACATACATATCCCTAACTATATCCCCTTTATAACATTGTCACACAGATTAAGTAAATTTCTCTTCTCAGAACACATTAAAATAGGTTTTAAAAACCAGAAAACAGTACACACACTTCTTTCCAAAGTCAAAGACACTACACCAACAGCCTACAAATCCGATTTAATATATAAAATTAAATGTATGAACTGTCCACCTGCATACACTGGAATTACATCGCAATATCTAGAAAAACGGAAAAAACCACACACTGTAAGACACCTAAAACCAATCCACCAACCATTGACCACACACCATTTTGAAAAACAACATAACTTTCTAGAAATGATTTCCATTAACCGAGACACACACAACATTAATTACAGAGCAAATACATGCAAACTCAGCCGTAGCTAGGCCAACACATAAACAAATCAACTATTGAACTTTATTTTTATACAATTAATTAAGGTTTTAAGTTGAGATAAAAATTGAATGATATTAATTGGTCAAGCGGACCATGAAAAAGTGAATTTATTTTTAGATATTAATCCATTTATGTTTAGTGGTCTAACTGACCATGTTACTTTTTCAATTAATTATTCTTTTTTTATGTTAGGTCTTGGTTGAGATGAGAAAGTTAGTGTCACGAGCGGGATTCGAACCCACGACCTTCGGCTCAATTTTTTATATATACGCCGTTGCTCTAACCACTTGAGCTATCGTGATTTCAGTGAAGTCGTGGGTTCGAATCCCGCTAGTGACACTAACATTTTCATATCAACCAAGACCTTACATAAAAAGAATAATTTATTTTTATATTTCCCTTTCATTTGTTATCGTCCTTAACAATTAACTTCCTTTCCAATATTGGATAAACTCAGATTCACAAATCCAATTCAGAAAATCCCCATTCTCGACTTTCTTTGGGTTAAATAAAACGCTTATGATCAAAGAAAATTCTCCAGAACCCTGTCGCAATCATATAAAAAACAGCAGAATACAAATTCAACGTTTCATAACAATTTCACACAAAACCAATATGGTGACCTTATGTGAGTATGCCAAAGTTTATATAAAGTATTATAAAGTAAGTTTACATCTGTATTGTATTTTTCCAATCAAAATATGTTTTGCAATTCACCCAGGCCTTGAAGATGGCCCGAATAAAGGTCGAAACATCGGGAAAAAATGAAAAAGGTGTTTTTCGAAATTACCTCATTCTTGACCGCTCCTCACGAATTGAACAAATTATCTACATCGACATTGTGTGTTATAAAATGTATATTAATAGTTAAAAACAATTATACGCTAAGTATGAATAAATATTTATCTAATTTGTTCGAAGTTAATTTAGACAGTTTTTAGAAAAAAAGGGTAATTCTGACTGGCCGAGTTTGGAAACACTGGCTTCGATTTTGACGTCGCGGAGGCTACACTGGTCGGAACAGTGAACAGTCTCGGATGACTCGATTTTTAGACAATTAACAGTTAGGGATTTTTTCGTTTTTTTTTCCAATTTTCCGGGCGTCAAATCTTTTTTGTGATTTTATTAGCATTTTTAGTGGTGATCCATCAAATTCCATAACGGACTGGTGAAAAATGAGCGAAACTAAAGAAATTAACAAACACGAGGAAACCGGCGAACAACAGAAAAATGCACTTAAGACCGCAAGGTAAACTCATTGGCCTCTTCTTAACATTTTCTCCTGACTTTTCTCGCCTTTCGCCAGTTTTTATTTATTTTAAAAAAATGCCACACCAATTTTCTAAAAAGAAAATAATCTTGCTTCATAATTTTCCCTACCCAAATGCCTTGAGTGAAAAGTCAATTCTACACAAAAAGTAGTAGAAAAAATGTGTTTATGTGCCTTATTCTCAATATACAAAAAGTAACGTTAACCAGGGTATAATTGAAATATTTAATTATTAAGCTCTTATCCTAGAAAATGCTTAAAATAATGCTATTTCTAAAATCAAAAAAATCATTTGTTTTAGCTCGGTATCATTTATATGTATTTTTTCTGGAAAATTTTTTTTTACAATTGTGACAAGTCAATTCTACAGTGCACGTTTTTTTGTGGCCTTTTGGGTCAAGATTGTAAGCAGTTAGTTAAATATTCCAAGGGAAAATACATTCAAAATAGTTATGATTTTTTCCCTTGACATTTAACAACATAGTATCGTTTGATTTCGTATATGTATGTGTGCATGTGTGTGGATATTGTAATTAATGTTTGTCTTATTGCTGTCTGGAAAACTTGTCAAAATAGTTACAGTACGATATAATTCATAATGGTCTATGTGACTTTGTGAGGTCTGTGATAAATATCTGTATAAATACATCCTGGTGTACCAATTCTTGCTGGGTTTCTAGCTTGTCATTTCTGATCATTTTGGGCTGCCTGCTCCCCCCCCCCTATGAAACTTAAATGATCAGAAACGACAAAGCCACAGGTTCACCGCCCCACTCAAAAAGAAATCTCACAAGTCGCTGAGTTGTCATCAGACATTTTTTCATAATTTGTTTGTCCGTTTTGTTATTTTGATAGTCATGTTTATTTATATATTTACGAAATTCAATAGGGTGTGATCTGATACAAAATGTTGTAACAATACTGACATACAAACTACCAAGATGATCTGTGATGAGAAAATGACAGTATTTTCTTTTTTAATATACTGCCCAAAAGTAATCAATACATCTTCAGCAGATGTTGGGCTGCAAGTCTTGAAATAAATGATATGTAATAATTTTTAAAAAATATTTATGCAAATGGGCAAAACAAGCGTTCCAATAATAAAGAGAATGTATTGAAGCTACTTCGCATTGATAAACTAACAAAAGAACGTAACTGACAAGTTAACACAAAGACAAAACAGTGAAGATCAAAAATACCCAACCAACCTGTATAAGATGATCAAAAAGAAACAAACTGCAAAAATAAATTAAGTTTTCACATGTAAAATTAAACATATTTATGCAGGAACCCAAACAGACTTGCAACTTTATAAATAAATTCACAATTTTAAAATACAAAAATCCATCAAAATGCAAAAATCATGCAAGTCCTAACGGTAAAAATGCGCCAAAAACCCAAGGGAGATGAATTTATTTTTAGTATTCTAGCATTGTCATAAAATATACTTGTCAAGCTCAAAACGCAAGAAAACACTATTGCAATAGTCAATAAATAAATGTGCCAAAATATATATTATTAAAAAATTACTAATTGTAAATGCTGAACTGGCACTATGTCATTTACTGGGTCCTTCAAAATCTAGCTGTCCAATTGTTAAATCAGTACTTCTGATTGAACATGAAGCTGTTGAAATACAAATGTTTATCTCCTTAATTTTTTACTCACAAAACATAGTTCTTAACAATTAATTTTTTTTTTGTAAGGTTTTGGTTGAAATGTAAAAGTTTCATGAGCGGGATTCAAAGTAGTCATTAACATTTGCTTTAAAACAGCCCATGAAAGATCCTTCAATGAAGAAGTCTTCAAAATTTGTTTAGGTCAAATATAAGTGTACCATGGAGGAGTTCCCATAAAGCAAATTAATTAGCCATAAATCTTAATAGAAAAGTTTTGAATTTTTTTTGTTGGGCCTTTTTCTTGAAAGTGTTTTAAAAATTTAAGTTGTCTTATTTTTTAGCAGTAAATTAAAATAAAAACCATTTTCCTCGAGAATGGCACATGATTCCAATGCCATAACATTGTATATTCAGATATTTTTTTTAAACAACTTCAAGAAAAAAGCCTAATAATAACAAAAATTAAACAATAAAAAAAGTAGGAAAAAAGACAAATTCTTCTCACAAATTTATTGTTAATAATAACCAATAACCCCTAATTATTATTATTATTTTAAATAAGAAATGCAACTGTTATTATTTTATATTATCTTTTGTTTGAAAGATGTGGTTTCCTTTAACTACTAATTTCTTCCTTGATTTTCAAATTTATCATTCCTAGATAATATTCGGTACAAATTAATTTGTGTTATTATTAATTCATGCAATTTATATATACATATAACCTATTATTGTAAATATATGAGAAAAAATGGTTTTCCAGCTTATTTTTATTTGTTATCTTCTTCCAGTTCTAAAAAAAGAAACCGCCGCAAGAAGCAGAAAAGCAAAGAAGGTTTAAATATAGAATCCGTATCTATCAATGACCAGGAAATTGCGTCAGGGTGCAATTTATCTATGCAGGTAAAAAGTTAATTTATACAAAATCATGATTGATGTATTTGAGTACTGTACTTCTAAAAATGATTTAATGGATATAACAACCACATTGCATTTTTTTTGTATATTGAGTTTCTCAATGTAATAAATCCTTTGATTATTTAAAAAAACTTTATTTTTAGGAAATCAAAAAAGCTATGGAAGTTTTCTCCTACCAGCAAAAGCCAGCAAAGACAACAGAAGAGGCGATGCAGAAGCAGTTCCAATTTTGGAGCACTCAGCCTGTTCCTAGAATGGGTGAGACTTATTAAATTTTTAGATATTTCTGCTGTTTCAGTGATTTATCTAATAGTTCAAAATTTAGACAAAATTTCATGTTACAATTATTGTTATAGATGAAAAAATTACTGTAAGTGCTCCAATTGAGCCTGATAAACCTACTAGTGAAATAAGGCAGGAACCTTATTCATTGCCTGAAGGTTTTTCATGGGATACTTTAGTCCTTGATGATCCTCTCGTACTAAAAGAATTGTACACTCTTTTGACTGAGAATTATGTTGAAGATGATGATGCTATGTTTAGATTTGATTATCCACCCCAATTTCTTAAATGGTTAGTATCTTTTACCTTACCCTATATAAGCACTCTTGTTGATACAGTGTAACAATAACCATTATTTCTAGGGCCCTCCAGCCTCCTGGATGGAAAAAGGAATGGCACTGTGGAGTCCGGGTGACAAAGAGTAGTAAGCTAGTGGGATTTATTAGTGCTATACCAGCCAAGTTGGCTATTTATGATCAGTATGTTTGTTTTTTTGTTTTTGTAAATAAAAACATATAATTGATGTTATCACTGTTTTATTTTATAATTGCAGTGTACAGCCAATGGTAGAGATTAATTTTCTTTGTGTCCATAAAAAGCTGAGGAGTAAAAGAGTAGCTCCAGTTTTAATTAGAGAGATAACAAGAAGAGTAAATCTCACTGGTCTTTTTCAAGCTGTATACACAGCTGGAGTTGTACTACCTAAACCAGTAGGGACCTGCAGGTAGGCGAATTGGTTTTAGGAAGATGTGTAGTGAAGTTCTTACCATACGAAACGTTCCAGGTACTGGCATCGATCGCTCAATCCCAAAAAGCTCATAGAAGTAAAATTCTCCCACCTCAGTAGAAACATGACAATGCAAAGAACGCTCAAACTTTACAAACTGCCAGAGACAACAAAAACCCCAGGTTTTAGGAAACTAACTGTGGCTGATCTGCCAAAAGCAAGAAAGCTATTGTCTGATGTGAGTACCATAGAATTATGCTATATAAAATGTCTCAGTATATTATGTGAAATGAGTTTGTTGCAGTACTTGTATAAATTTGATCTGACACCAATATTTTCTGAAGAGGAATTTCGTCACTGGTTCCTTCCACAACCAGATATCATTGATGCTTTTGTTGTTGAAACTGATGGGGAAATCACTGGTATTAAAACTATTTAAAAAAATATAAGTATATGTTTGTTTTTTAATCATTATTTTTAGATTTAGTAAGTTATTACACGTTGCCTTCAACAATAATGCATCATGCGGTGTATAGCAATCTTAAAGCAGCCTACTCTTTTTATAATGTCTCTACAAAAACCCCATGGACTGAACTTATGACTGATGCACTCATATCTGCTAAGAATGTAGGTTGTACAGTCATATCACATTTTCAGTTTAATTAAATTATCCATATTTTTCTTTTCAGGCTGGTTTTGATGTATTTAATGCTTTGGACTTAATGGAAAACAGAGAATTTCTTGAACCCCTAAAATTTGGTATTGGCGATGGCAATTTGCAATATTATTTATTTAATTGGAGGTGTCCACCCACTCAGCCTAACAAGGTAATTTAAAATATCCCCTTTTCAAATGTGTTCTCAAATGATTCAAAATCATGTTCTCTCCGTTTCAGATTGGCTTAGTTCTCCAATAATTCGGTTTCCAATACTAATCAAGGCGATAAAGAGGAGAAAAGTGCAAAGCTTTATCTTTGTAGCTTTGTTGTTCCCTGTTCTTGATAGCTGATGTGTATCACGCGCTTTATGACCAAAATTATAGATATATTGTATTTATCGCGTAGATATATAAACAAACAAAATAAAAATGCAACAAACAAAATTTAAATCTTGTGCAATCATAAATTGAGCAGAAGTAAGATTGCATTCAAGGTGCGGACTGCAAGGATATTAATACTTACACTATGTATTTCATTTCATCAGGATAGTGAACAAAGACAATTTATCAGTTATGTACAGTTATTCAAGCAGCATACTAGTCAATTATGTTTTTAATTAATACATTTCTGAAATGTTTTTCTTTTTTTAATGGTGGCTTTAGTATTTGTTTTTCTGTGCCATAGCATAGAAATCGAGTTCGTACATGGAATCATAATTGATTTGATTTTTTTTTTTTTTTTGACATTTAACAAATCTATAATTGATTATTTTAAAATTAACTTCAGTGTTAAGGCTTTTATATTTTTGTTTTACTATTATTTCTTCTTTTTAAATAGTTATAATTCTAACCCAACAAAAAAATTAAATTATGGCACGATATTTTTTGCGTGTTTGTTTTGTTGAGTTAAAATACAAATTAATTTTTATACATTCATTTAAGACTAGCTGAAGGGCCGAATTATTGAAATACATAAGTAAGATTAAGGAAAGTGTATCAAAGTATCATTAAAATAAAATGTAAGAATACCTTTTAAATTCAGAATGTTCTTGTCTAATTCAACACAGTGAATCTCTTTTATTTATTACTGCATGTTTAATTCACAAATAAAAATTTTAAAAAAGCAAAGAAAAAGTTCTATTGTCCATGATTGAAATTATATTATATAATTTCGTTTGGTTTGTATAACACCAAGGAGAATTTTACATCAAATTTGTAAATTATGATTACATTTGTAAATAAATGAAATGTAAGAGTTATTTTTCCCTGTCCTGATTTACTATACGAGCGAAAAACAAAATGCTAGGTCAGAAATTAACTATGCCAAATTAAAAATGTAAGTATCTTGGTCATTGTGTTGTAGGTTGTTCAAATATTCTTCATGAGCATCATATTTTGAGTGTTAATTATAAAATATATACCACTATTTGCATTTAATAATCTTTCTCTCTCTCTCTCTTTTCCAAACCTGACTTTTGGTGATGGGACGTGCAAAGTGATGCTGAATAATTTCAGTCCAAACAAAAATAGCATGCTATTGGTATCACTCAAACTATTGGCATAAAAACATTATTTGTAAGGAATCAAATGTTTACATGTGTATTGACTTCAAAGTGCAAAGGATGGAAACACATCATTACAAGTGAAAAATTATAATTTTTAAATGAACTAAGAAAAAAAGTGATGCTATGTGTTTAATGGAATTGTTCTTGTTCTAGATACCTAGATATTGAGTCTTATTTGACAGTTGTGAAGTAAAAAGAGTAACAAAAAATGATTTTATCCCTTGTCTTTCTGATGACTGGGTGCTAGCCCATTTTATACACCAACTTATTTTTCCCTTTTTTTCTTAAAACCCTTATTTTTATATATTTATTCATTTTGAAATTTTTAATGCTTTACCCTATAGATATATAGATTTCCTGTTATGTGAAATTAACAAAGGTGGGGTGTTAGAATACCCTCAATTATTAGAGGATTAAAGCATTAAGGAAGTTAAGAATTGTACAAGATCCCTAAGAAATACAGGGTATGAGTTCTGAAATAAATATTAGCTAAAACATAGAAGGTACTGACATTTAGAGGGGAGCATGCTGCTGGCTGTGGTGAGGGTGTTCAGTAGGGGTGGTCTGTGGGAGTGAAATGTTAATACGGTTAATCTTTCTCGAGGTATCAGCCCATAAATAAAATTATATATATATATATATATATATATATATATATATATGTAAAACAGAGCCATGCTGAAGGGGTGGTTTTTTGGAAGTCAAAGGGATACGACTTTAACTTAGGGCTAATGACAAAAAAATCGTAGAAACAATTTTTTTAAAATTACTCTGCAATAAAACTGCTATCAAATACAAATGTACAGAACTAGTAGTAGACATCTAACCTCAACCTACTTTTATTCCAAGAGCTATGGCCTAAAAAGAAAAATTTATATATTATTTGTATACATATATAGCAAGTATAGAGTAATAAGACATTAAATGGAAGAAGTCAGCATCTTGTATTACCCTGCTTATACCCTGAAATGCACTGTTTTGTCAACAGGCAATGATCCAAATGTCTGATTCTCATATTTGTCACTTGTAGACTGGATTCCGATTTCCGACATGCTCTTTGTTAAATTGACTTTACGCATAAAAAAAAACATTGTAAACCACTGAGTCCTTATTCACAATGCTGACGTGTTGCATGCTTTAATGCTTTATAAATGAGAATAAAACAACAGCTATATAATATAAATGGTTCAGTTTCGGAGTACTGGATAAAAGGCAAAAAGCATAAAAAATAAATTTTAATTACGAACTGTACAACAATAATACAATAAGATTCCTTAAGAAATCGAAATTGTACAAAATCTGCGATAAAGCAGATAAAAACTAAACAAAACTATTTAATTTCATTTTTTACTATTTAAGGAATTTCAAACTTTCCAAACAAGCTTTATACAATGCCAATTATTTCAAATTAGAAGTAAGTACTTTTGTTGGAAAACTATCCATTGACAATATTATTGATGGAAAGAATTACAGCCTCAAAATTGTAATTCAAAAATTTTTTGTTATCCGCAAATAAAATTAAAAAAGAAATAACCATTTTTGTGGTGTGCATTTTCTGAGCGTTTTAATTCTGCACAACAAAATTTTATTTATTCATTTATTTTTTTCTAAACCAGAGATAATGTTATAATTTAAATGTATTTAATTTTATAATTTATTTACAAGGTGCACTACAGAAAGGTTTGGACTCGTGGCTTTTTATACGCACTCCGAGCGAGAAACATTCTATTGGCAGTCTTCGCTGTTTGAACGTTGGTGAAATGTTTTTTATTTTTTTTATTTTACAGGAACTGCATTCCAACACCTATCTGAATTGGTTCAACGATTTTATCAGTGCTGTGGGACAACAATGGGAAACACAGGTTGAACTCAACCCGTGCCATGTGGCCTAACCGAATAGCGACTCCAACACCAGTGCTCACCCTTATCATGGCTTTTTGCTCTTCGAAAAAACTACTGAAATTCTCTGTAAAAAAAAATTTTGTTTAATTCTCACATCAATTATTATTATTTCAAATAATGTACATACTTAATTTAAAATCTCCGATGTTTCCGGCATTCAGCCATAAGTGTGTTCTGAATATTTCACCAAAACTTGATGCTCTAGGAGTGAATGGAAGTGGGGTATAAAGATGTAAACCAGCAGCATAATACATCTAAATTTGTTTAAATAAATTTTATTTTTTATAATACACTTTTAAATAATATTTAATTAGTATACAATACCTTCCCTCCAAGAAAATTATCATCTTTTTGAGGCCCGACTGCTCTAGCTTCAAATCCTCGTAAGGACTGAGGGCCTCCAAGAAAGAAATTATCCGCTAAAGATAATTCCGACCCGAAATTGTATAAATGCCCTGCATTCAAACCAAGTTGGAAAACCTGAAAGCAACAAACTTCCAAAATAATCAACTCTTCAAAGATTTCACTATTTTGGTCACACAGTTCAGGATTTCTCACTGCTTTCCACCAGACCGATACCGACTCACAGGTGATTATAAAACTATTTCAAATTCTTGGCAGTTTTGTAAGTCATTTTACCATATTCAATAGTTGGCCAGTGTGTTATTCCATTAGTCATGACTATTTTATTGCTTGTAAAAAATAAACAGTGTCTTTGATACTTTCGCCAATGTAGACAATGGTCACAACTAATAAAATAGCACACATTTAACAAATAAAATTAGATGTATTTGATTTTTCCACTTGTCCCACAGCTTTATTTGCATTTCTACAGTTAACAGAATAAAGGATATGTCACGACATTTTTAGTTTTTTTTTCTTTTTTCAATACACTGTAAATTTTTTAATGTAATTTTTAAAAATTGGTCCTTACCAATCACTTTGGCCTGTACTCTAACACAGAGATAGGCAGACCAAATGACTGACCAAATTACAGGTTCATCATGAAGAAATCACACAATATATTTTTTATGATTGTATTTGCAATTTAGTCAACTTTATTTTAATATTATCTAAATTGGCTTCTATTTTTATCTAAATCTATGTATCTTAGTTATGATTGATGTTCTTCCTGGGTGTAAATAAGTTTTTAATTTTGCAAGTAAAATATGCTTATAATATAATAACTATGGAATATAAAATTAAACTTTCTAAAATTCTAAATTTTGTTTAAATTGTACTTACAACGTCTTTCTTGTATAGTGGATAGTTATACTGGAAATTTGCTTCATTCTTCAAAAACCCAATATTTCCTCCTAAACCAGCCAATTCAGTGCTGAACTTTAAAAGAGACCCTATAGAAGGAAATATTGTTGCATCTCTCCCTTCGACTGTCAGTATGTGCCTCAGACAAGATTTGAGCTTATGACCGACAACCTGGACGACTTCAAAGGACGCATAACGCTCACTTGTCATTTGCCTCCAATCGAGTTCATATTGCAGATTGTGCTTCAACTGCAAGGGGTAGAACAGTAATTGAACAATCACAAGAGAAAATTTGAAATACTCACTCGGCTGTTTGGAGATAAGGCCAGGTCGAATAAACAACCGGTGTCTTTGACTTTATAACCAGATATTGGCCATTCGGAAGCATTGCTGAACAAAGAAAACGACCCAACTGGATTCGCCCTTAGGAAAAACGGCTTGCTAAATGTAAGTCCTAAGGAATTTGTTCGTTTTGATCCATAGCTGAATTCGCCTTTGATCATTTCTCCATTTCCTTTCACATTTGGAAGAAACGCTCCAATCACAAGGACACCTTCATTATTAGATAACTGTGAACTGACTCCACCAGAAAACCTTTTGAGTTCAGATACTTGAAAGGTAACCTAAATTTTTTTTGTTATTTCATCAATTGAAATTATACTTATCTAAAATAAAAATAAAACCTAACCTCATAACCATTGTTTGTTGACTTTGGTCCGGAGCTTGTATCTATATAAATCGCTATGGATCTAAATAATCCCAATGTCTGCATTTGAGCTTTGGCTTCATAGGCTTTTTTTATCACCTATTTTCCACAAGAACATACAAAATTAATTATAACATTTTGACTAAAATAAGTACACCTTTTAAAATACCTCTTCAAAATTTCTTGCTGTAAACAAATCCTTTACACTGTGTTTTAATATATCTACTTTTGTCCTGCATATTCCATCAAAGTTTACTCTATCAACCCTGGCCTGGAAAAGGATTTTGTCTCTTTTGATAATATTACATCAACAAATATCACATAACAAAACTTACACTAATGCCTTGCAGATCCATAGACTTGGTGGTATCTGAAGGTGCATCAAATGCTCTACTTGTAGGGATGGAGGTGGAGGCATCACTCTAAAACAACAAAACCAATTAAGAAAAAGTAATTGCAATTTGAAATTTGCAAGTGGAAAGATTAAATTTTGCAACAGATAGTTTATAAACTGTAAAAAGAATTGTTAGAAAATATATTGTGTCAGCACAGAAATGCTTCAGGTTTAATTTACATTAAAATTAGCCAACTTTCATTTGGTTAGGAACCTAACAAAGGAAAATTTCATTCACAAGTTATATCCATTTTGATATAAGTAGAGCTAATTTTCCTTCATTGATTCAGTTGTAGCTATTTCATTTATCACAGGGAGTATTTAACCAATTAAGTCATCAAGAAAAGTTATCTTTTGATCAATCAACGAAAAGATTAACAGAAAAACGGCAGAAAGAGGAAACTGCCTAAAGGAAATGTGATTTTTGATTCATTGACATATGACAACTTGAGAGCTGAAGTTTATTTAAATACAACAAAATTTATTTGTTTACAATTTACAAAATTTAAAGAATTTTAAAATCTACGGCTTTTAAGAAATAAAAGCGACTGCAGAGCTGACAAATGCTAAATAAAATTATTTGGATAATAGCAAAACTAGGAAAAAGTAACAAGAAAATGTACTGCTAGGTCATTCACTTTCATTGCTACAGTTCCTTTCTCTGGGTTTTGTTTGTATACAGAGTTACAGAGTTTGCATTCAAGATGTGGCTAGCAACAATCAACCAGCATAGACATTCACATACACCCAACGTACTAATTGAAACTACAAGTTCCTTTTTCAAATTCCTCTTCAAACTGGCTTTAGATGAATTATTAATATCTAAATTGTTTGGTAGCATATTGATCAGATACATCTTGCATATGGGAGAGCGAAAAGTGTAGTTGTTACGAGAAAATTTATGGGGTTGAACCAAGTGTTCCAATCTCTAAAGAATGCAGACTCTCCAGTCCAAAAATGTCTTCTCATATCCAACCTTACTATCCACACAGACCTTCAAATCCCATTTGTCCCCAATAAATCAATACAGATGTTTCCATAAAATCCTGGATCATCATTCCGACCCCCTAGATTAGATTATGTAGGAGCCAGCCTCTTTACGACCAGTATTGGTCTATAGTGCATCTCCATTTTTTTTTTTTTTTTTTTTTTTTTTTTTAATTCAGAGATCGTGAGATGCGGTCTGGTGTGACGTATGTTTCAGAAAAACATTTTCTTTATCGTGCCAACGTTTCGATCTTTATTGAAATCATCTTCAGGGTCTGGGAATTACAAAAATTGTTTAAATTTTACAAATATATTTAGAATGTGGAAAAAAATGAATTTATACAATACAAAAAAATATTTTTTATATTCAATCAAAGTATTTCTACAACACCAGACCACATCTCATAATCTCCGAAAAATCATCGATTAACGGTCACTAATCACCACAAATATTTTTTGTCGAGGTCCTCGTTAAGCTTAAGGCTTTTTACCAGACCCCAAAGTTTTTTCAAGGGTCCCCATGTGTATCATTCAGGCCCTGGCTTTTCCTCTCCCAGGATTAGGACTCTAAGCCTACACAAGCCTGCACATCAACAGAGGACGTATTCCACTGTTTTTCTTCTTCTTCTTGGCAATCTGCATAAGCTTGTTTCTTCTACTCCTAGTCTACACATACGCCTTGAGAGTCGGCATCATCCAGTCATCAGTCCAATTATTATTCTAGTCCTAGCACATCTTGGTATCCCAACCCCCAAGGGGTAGGAATAAAAGAGGCGGCCACAAGGCCTTCTGCACCTCAACACTAGTAGATCTATTTGCTCCTCTGATTTTGGCAAGCTTCAGGTTGTGAATCAACCTCAACAGCCTTGCCAGCGGCTTCTTAGTGTAGGTTGCTTTTGACTTTTCCTGTCCTAGTTGCAAGAACTTGCACCTACATAGACTTCACAAAAACATGTGTTCTGCGGTCTCCTCCTCTTCCTGGCAGTATCTGCTCAGTGTTTTTTCTGTCAGTACTATCCAGTGCATGCGCTTTCTGAAGAGCAATGCCCTGTCAGGAGTCCAACCAAAATCCTGATTCGGTTGCAGTCACCTTCCAGTAATTCCTTTGTAAGTCCATGCCGAGGTCAGATCCCAACCACCTAATCAAACACCTTTCATCCCGAATCTTTACCTACAATCCTCCAAGACACCAAACAAAATTTATTACAACATACAATTTTTTTTTTAAATAATTAGCATCTATAAAATTATTCTACTAATTGTGGAGGGTCAAAATTTGAATTTGTTGAATAGCATTTAATTGAATGGCATCAAGAATAGTAAATCTTTTGATCTGGCTATGAAAAATTTCCTTTATACATCTCAACAGACTATCACTAAACTATACCAACTGCCCATTTATGTTTAATGGTCTAATTGACCATGTTAATTATTTAAATTATTATTTTTATGTAAGGTCTTGGTTGAGATGAACCATGACCTTCGACTCAATACGCTGCTGCTCTACCACTTGAGCTATCATAACTAAACAATCCTCTCGGACACCAACTCCCCATCTCAGGAAAAATTCGAAAGGTTGTAGGTTGAGATGGGGAGTTGGTGTCTGAGTAGATCGAAGTCACGATAGCTCAATTGATTAGAGCAACGGCGTATTGAGCCAAAGTCGTGGGTTCGAATCCCACTCGTGACACTAACTTTTTCATTTAAGCCAAAACCTTACATAAAAAGTATACTAACTATTAAACATTTTAATATTTGAAGTTTTAATTTGACTTTTCACTAAGAAATTGTGAGGGTAAGAACAAATTTTGATAAAAGTTGTGTTTGTAAAAATGATGGCCGAGCTTTAAAGTTGTGTTCAATAGCATTTGAAGTGTGTCATCAACAAAAATAAACGTTGGCCAGGCGTTGAAAATTCACCCGGCCTACGAAAAGCGGTGCCGCGTTTTCTGTGAGTTTTGCCTTCTTTAACTTGGAAAAAATTGATAAGCGGCTGATAAGACTTTTATAAAAGAGGCGTGGATGAAAATTGTCGCATGTCTTGCTTTTTATATTTTTTTCCTCCAGAAGAGGAAACCATTTCAAAACTACTCACCCTTGTTTTAGCTTCTTTCGCGGAAACCGCCCCCATCCTTGAGAATTGTGCTGTGTGAAATGTATGTATTCGAATTGCCTAGAAACGTTTGCGCTAAAAAAGAAAAACGGGAGCTAGAATTTAAAATATGACATTTCAGAGAGAAGCCCGGATGAAACCTTCCGCAGTCGGCAATTTCTCGGTAACAGTGGTATGATTTTGGTATATTTTCATTTTTTATTTTGATTTTATTAATTCCGAACTAACAGATTAATCCTTTTGGATTGGACATTTTCTTAAGCTAATATTTCTATAACACATGTGAATCTGATTGATTTATCGTTTCTTTTTATTGTATAAAAGAGCGGGCTACGAATGCCGGTCAAAGACACCGGTTCAGAAGATTTTCGTCACTAGAGTTTTTCCTTCTCGTATTTAAATATACTGATCATCAAAAAACAAAAAACTGGCCACCTGGTTTTGCACTAAAAAATGGCCAACTTTGGAAATATTTTCTCAACCTTTTAAGTCAGACCTTCCCTAGGTCTTATTTTTTAGAAAAATGCCGGAACATGTTAATTTTTGGGCAAAGTAGATGACCAATTGAAAGTTTATTAAAATTTCCTATCGATTGCTATAAGGCGCCGCTCCAGGTCGATTTCCTAGCTCCACAGCTCAATTTGACATTTTCGTAAAAAGTGCAAAAAATTAACATTTTTCAAACATTTTTAATTTTCTGATTAATGTCTGAAGCTAGGAAAATATTTAAAAAAACCATCTTGTTCAGCGTAAAATTTTCTCAAAAAATGAGAGGGCGGGTATGTGACAAATGGCTGAGAAAATATGCATTTCCAAAGTTGGCCATTTTTTCGTGCAAAAACCAGGTGGTTATTTTTTCTTTTTCTTTTCTTTATTTAACCATAAAGTAAAATAATAATAATCAATATTTAAAACATTCAAAAGAAAAACTAAATGAGCCATTTCCAATTATAAAGTAATGGCTAGGAAATAAATTATCTTTTCTATAATAGGCATTTATTTCATCAGACGCGTTTCTAGTATAGACCATCTTCAGTGCCTTTTTTAAGTATAAAGCGGTTTGACAGTTGTTTTACATTGAAAATCAATATTAAGTTCAGAAATGGATGTCTGGACAACTATGGACTTAGCAAGTAATCTATCAAGAATGACAAAGAAAACATACTGTAGTGCGAGGCTTACTAAACTGTGGTTCGTGGACCTCTTGGGGGTTCCCAGCAAAAAATTAATATTTAAATTTAAAAAACTAATAAGGAGTAATTTTTCTCTCTCTTTTTTATAGGCGAAAAACATCAATGGTTATCATCACCTTTGTACTAACAGTGGTATTGGTTTTCTTCAATAATTATTTCTTCTTTTTCCATGCTCTGACTGGGCTCCTCCAGAAGAGGGATGCAACAAAAAACTCCTCTCCAAGCAGCGAGCAGAAGGCCCCCAGGAAAACATGCTTCCGTACCTGGTGGGATTTTACTCCCAAATTTTAAATTAAATTACTAAGGCTCGGGGTTTGATGGTCTGCCTGTGTACCAATGCCAATAAGACCTAAGACCGTCCTGCCATTCTGGCTTAAAACAGGAACATGTTTCCCAGGAAGCAAAACCGCCCATCCCAGTCCTCAGGAAGAACACAGTCATATTTTTTTTTTTTTTTGAAATTGTATAAGTTTATAGAGATTTCTCACTTTTATACTTTCGAAGACTTAAATTTTTTTCTTTTTCCCTAACATTTCTTTTATAATCCAGGGGATTTTGGGGTTACAAGCCCACCTCAGACAAAAGGGAGGGGCACAAGTATGTGTAATACATCTAATTGATCACCACAGAGATGTTGGTGCTATAGATTTTTCTATGAGGTGCCTGTGGTTCATATTGGTGTGCTCTATACATAATCGATATAGTACGACCTCATCACACCTGTAAGTTTGTAGGATGTTTCCAAGATCTAACAGTCTCTTTTCTATTTCATAATTTGTTGGAAGTGGTTTGTTTCCACTGATTTTCCCAATTTTCAATTAATTTAAGTTTGAAAGCAGACTTTATATCTTCAGGATTTATTAAAACAGATGATGGGATTGTTCTGTGCAGCTTTTGCTGTGTTATAAGTGTAGAATGAGTACTGAAAATGAAAGTTTTTATTTTGCAGCAGCAGCATTGTGTTTTCCACAGACATGCTTAAACAAACGCCAGCCTCTTTTAAGAGTTTTGGATGAGTCTGTTTAAATTATAAATTATAGCAGGCCACAGCCATTGAAGTCAAGATTTTTCACAATACTATGTGATGATATGGGAAGCCTTCATCATTCCCTGATTCTCCATACAGAAATGAGGTGGCTGTCTGTCAATTACAGGAATTACTTTCTGAAGTCTTATCTTGTTGATGTACCACAATGTCAAATTGGCCAATGTTTTCAATGATAAAAAAGGCAATGTACACTGTCATATTGATCAAATATTTCTATTAAAATGAATGAGATTGGTCTTTCTTTTCAAGGGAAGAGTATCACAACTTTTGATGCTAATGACAAAGATAGAGCTTTCAAAAGGAAAATCCAGTTGTTGGTTGAATCTGTTGAGAAGGAAGAAGAGTTTTCCCGTATTAAATGATTTTTGTTTAAAATAAAAACTGGAGTTTTCGAACATTGCAGCTTGCATTGATCGATGAAAGTTTGGAAATGTCCCTGGTGTACTACTACCTGACTACTTGAGGTACATGAATGCTGCAAGACCATGAATGGGGGTCAAAGCATTTTCTGTTTACACAAAGCCAACCAGTCTATCTTCAAGTAAATAAGAAATTTTGATAGACATTACTTCAGATTCCACCTTGAAATCTACTTTCGTGTCCGATACTTACCCCTGTTTTTTACTCTGTCTGAAAAATGAAAAATTTCAACCACTCTTTGAAACAGCAAAACTTGTTTCATTTGCCAAACCTATGCAAATTTCCGGATTTTTTTTATCTATACAGCCAGCTATGTCTAAATAGAGTTACCCAACATATCCAAATTGTGTAGACTAAAACACTCTGCCAATTAATATTGTTGAAATTAGCATGAGTTTTATGTAACTATTGATTCTGTTCTGTCCAATTTGATTTTAGCTTTCCGAATTTTGTTTATAAATCAAATGATTGTTTTAATATTGATATCATCACCTAACTGGCTAATTTATAAAACTTTAATTTACTATATAAGTATCAAATGTTAAATACTTGAATGATGAAAGGGGTCCATTGACTAAAAAGTTTAGTTAGTCCTGCTGTAGTGCACACAAATATATACTTAAAACACATTCAGGCAAAAACTAACCGCCCTTACAGTATAGAATAGAATACTCATTTATTGTCGTATTATACATTATATCTAGAAACGTAGTTACAAATAAATTAATACAATTTGACTTAAAAATAATTACAAAATTATCACAATAAGGTATCATGGCCTTGAAGGACTAAAAAACTCATTTAGACCATAATACATTTCCCATGCAAATGTCTTCAAAGCCCTTTTAAAATTGGAAAAATTATTAATCGTTTTGATAATAGCAGGGAGAGCATTGAAAATGGTAAGTTCCCATGTGTGAAACACATTTATTAGACCATCGACTATTATTATGACCTGATCTAAAATCATTCTTGGAGTGAGTATTATGAGAATGAATTGTCAAATTAGTAGGGAAAAGGATTTTTTTTTAAGGAAATCACATTTCTATAAGTATCCTACACCAATCATAAGGCAAACACTTTTTGTGGGTTCTTACGCCAAGTCGCTTAGATAAATGGGCTTCAAATAATGAACACATTCACCTACATAGGATCTTCTTTACTTTAAAATGTAATTTACATTCAAAATGCATATGTAATAAATGCAGTTTTGATTTATTTTACTTACTTTGACATTATTTTATCTGGGAAAAAAAGTAACAACAGTAATTCAATAACAAAAAGAGGAACTGTATTAAAAATTCTTTTAATATTGATAACGAACGATTTCTCAAGTGATCACAATATATATATAATTTGAACAAAACAGTCAAATACATTTGTTTTTGTTTTTGAAATTTATAATTAACATTTTTGGTAACATCTCATTACAACAAAGGCTCAATTAAAAATTAAACAATAAATGATAGTTTTTCTTTTTATATTGCTACAATAGAAATACATAATGTACAATAGATAAATATGTATTTTTTCAGATCAGTACAGGAACACGATATAATTTAAAAGCTCATTTTTATAATGAAAAACAATTACACACTTCTTTGATTAAAATTTGTTTATCAGTGATGACATTATTCAGAAATAGCTTTGAACTTAGATATATATATTTGTTTTTTTGAAAGGCCATATATATGTATATAAAAATGGGGATACTACATTGTGAGTACAATCACCTCTCAGACCATAGTCAACAATTAATTTTAATTTATTTAAAAATAATTACAAAAAATATTGTTATTAACAGAGAATTCTTTTCAATATGTTGTATTGGTGTCCTAGCAATTTGGGGATTTTTTTTTTTTTTAATTTTTCTACACTTCAGTGGAAACTTATTTAATTTTTTTTTTGTTTTTCTTTTGAAGTAATATAAATAACTAAGCCTATGTGGTGTTCAAAGTCCTTAAAATTACAGTAATGCATTCACTTTTTTATTTTATTTTAAAAATATTACATTTAAGGGAGAATTCACTTTTCAAATTCATTAACCATTTATCTTCAAAAATTCGTTTTTATGTATATAATTTTTGTTAAGTGAATGCATTTTTAAAAATATTTCCTTTTGTTATAATCTATGATATCAGCACAAAATTACACTACACATTTTTTTTTGTTATAAGGCCTAGAAAGCTAGTCATTGTGATTTTGTAGACTATAAGCTTAAGAAGCATTTAATAATCACCCAACTTAATAAAATATATCTTAAAAATCAACAAAACAATGGCACAAAAGCTTAACTGGAGCTTCAATTTAACAATTATAAGACGGTTTAATTCAATCAAGTTGAAAAATATGTATACTTATATGTATGTATATTTTATTTATTTAAAAAAAATTAAATAAAATAAGGTTGATAATCCATTAACAGAAAGTACACTGATGTTTGAATATCTGAAAAAACAGAAAAACATTTATACATATTCTCCTTCTCAATTAAATATTTTCCATCACCTATAAAAATAAACTGTAATAAACAATTTAAAAAGTGCTAATTATTTCAATTGAAATTCCCAGATTGCCTCACGTTATTATTAATTTATCAGGTACATTTAATCAAAATATTTCAAATGAGATTTATTCTCTCTATTTTTCCCCATTTTTTAAAGTATGTATGTCACAGTATGCTTCTCTTGCTTAAGTTTTTAAACAGTAACACAATGATATCAGTGGCCACTAGCACACAGATCACATGCACAATTGATTAAATAACATGATCTTTTTTTGACAATATGATCCCATGAATACACAAAAATTTACAAATATACCAACATTAACTGTATTTTCTTTTGCCGTATAATTAATTACGTAAAACCTACATTTATGACACACATCAATCTTCTTTCTCAATTATTCACCCTACATTTTTCTCTTTAATTCAAAAATCTATTATAATAATTATTATTATTATTACAAAGTACAAAATTTTTGATTTATATGGAGAAAAGATTGTAATGGTTCCAAATATGTTGACAGAATATAACGTCACTGTTTCATTAGGGCTCCAAGACTTGATAAAGCGGCTAGTTTTTTTTTTTTTTTACAAATGAATAGCCGAAATCCTGATGATAAAGAAAACAAAAAAGACAAAACTTCTAATTCTAATTGTATACTAAATTTCCATACTAACACATTATAATTAAAGTCTTTTTACACAAATAAATATTATAAATATATAATTTACAAGTTCATAAAAATTCCTTTCATAAAATTGAAAATACAATTTATTGTTGAAACAAAACAAAAACTGTATAATTATCTTTATATTTTTAAAATAATGAACAATAAGCGTAATAAGTTTTTATATTTATAATTATGATCGAAACCCCCAAACACAAATGACAATACTTTCACATAGAAAATTTGAACAAATCAAAGAAAAGGTTTAGGAATTATAGGTTATTTGACTAAATTTGTCCCAACGGAATTCAGTTCTTGACACTTTATCCTTGTTGTTTTTTTAAGTTAGCAGTTGAAGAGTTAGGATAAGTACTAAATTTTATTGACCAATTAAAAAGCAATATTTAAGTATTAGAAGAAAGGCAAATTTTTCTTTTAAAAATGTGAAATTGACATTATATGAATAATTTGGTTCTAAACTTATGATTTTCATATTTGTTAAAATTTTAACTTGGATGTTCATTTTTTCTACAGCCCTATTTTACTAGAATATAATAATTATGATGCATATAAATAAATATGAGCATACTATAGATTTAACTCGTATACAATAATTACATGAATAATATGAGCATTATATATAAAAATGTAAGAAAAAAAAATATATTGCACATGTGTTAGCAATTAAGAAGCTGACAATTACAAATCGACAATAAAAACCTTGTACTCTTCTAAACAATACTACTTTTCAATAAAGTGTTTAGTAGTGATTGATTAGTGTGTTAGCAAAAAAAAGTGTTAATAAATTATTAAAAAATAATGTGTAATAAATTATTTCCACTACATTAAAGATAGAGTAAATTCTTTTCGATAATTTTATTCTAACAATAATGCTATGCCCACAATATTCTACATTTCAAAGTAGCGTTCACTGAGGTTTGTGTACAAGTTGTAAAATTTTCAATATGTATAAAAGCAGAATAAAATATATGTTTTATTTGGTTTAAAAAAAATCATTAATAGGGCGTCTGGGCCAATCCGAACATGTACTCAACCTAACTCTTCAAGTGATTAGTAAAACAATTTCAACATTTTTTAAGCAATAATTTACTCAGATTTCAATAGAGGAACCATGAATTTAAAAAACAATAAAAAAATAAATAATAAAATACGAAAATAAATAAACATTAAAAATTGTATTGGCCTGTGGTGTTCCCTTATTGCAGAATTATTATGGAAAAAATAGTGATCAGGCCATCTCTTTAGTTATTTCAACTAAAAGTCATTTTACTTCTAATCCCCTTGTTTATCTGTTTATTTTATTATCTTTATGCTTCATTTGTCAATTGTGACTTTATGGGATTATTCCACTTAACTTTTTTTACAAACTGTATTTACTTTCAGATCATAACTTTGATACCCGTTTCTCTTTGTCATTAATAAGTAATAGAAATAAATAGATGTTTGTTTTTTCAAACTTATCAGATGATTTGTCACACTTATGTGGAAGAAGAAATAGTTAAACAACAAAAGAAAAAATATGTATACCACATGTATAGTGTGTCTTTTTAATCCAAAATATCATAAACTTTTGGTATACGTATTTTATTTTATTCTTTCTGGCAGTGATCTATGCCCAAAATATGTGCGAGTTTATCAATTTGAAAAATTACTCTCGGTTGATGTTAGATATTCATGTTAAAAAACCGCAATATTTAAACTTTTTCCCCTGTTGTTTTAACCTTTAAACAATAATTTAATTAATTAAAAATAATATTCAAACTTTAGATATTATTTGGATATACATCAATGACACATATTTCAAACAAAATTTTAAGTAGGTGCTTATAATATTAAGTTCCCACAGCTCGAAAAAGTTTTTGTTCAAATTTTTGAGGGCTCCCAATATCTTAAATCCGACCTCACACATTAAGTGGGGTAAGAATAACAAGAGTGTATCCTTAAGATAAGGGGCGACACATTTTCCCAAATGAGGGCAACAGTGTACACAACAAACACGTTAATTACATGTTTAAAGGCAATATACACCTTACTTTATAATGTTTACAGTTTATTCCCTTTTCATTCTCCAGACTGGTCAGGAAGCGAACGTTCAAACATTGCTAGAGCTCTGTGTATGAACTCGTACTGTTCAGCCGTTTGTACCATTCCTCCTCTAAAAGTGTTTAAAATTTTTTTTAATTACTGTGTCACTGTAAATGTAATAAACAAATTGGTTTACCTGTCATGTCTCATTTTGCAAACGATTCCAAGTATATCAACAGAGTTTTCACTTAAAAGTTGACTAACTCCTATGCAAATAGCAATGAAACACCCAGTTCGTCCAATTCCAGCTGAACAATGTACTATCACAGGGCCAACGGGGGTACCTCTATTGCCTTCGAGCCATCGAGGGCTAAGGAGACCTGGGCTAACTGGACCAGGCATTTTTGGACTTGTTCCTACAATGGAACTGAGCAGTTAGACAGACCCTTAGTTTAAAAAAATATATAAATCATATACCTTCTATTGGGCTGTCTTCACTTGCAGTCCATATAGAACTGTCACCAGAACTCTGTGTTGGCCACCTTTTGCTTCCACTGGAACTAAACGCCGGAGAATCGAATGATGAATTAGTTCTAAAAGGGCTCCGATCAGACCCAGTCAAAGGGCTTGTCTCTGCAGTGTAATTTGGACTGTCCACAGATAACTTTCCAGATTTATCAATACTCCAACCTGGACTCTGAGCAGTTTCGTAACTCCCAGTCGAATTTGTACTCAGTTTTTCTAATTTCCAAAGGACGGTGTCGGCATTTTTACTCAGGGAATCATCTGCGGTTGCTGCTAGCATGTCAAAATCAAAAGCAGTCGAAGAATCCCTTGATTCTTCAGACTTAGACCTTTCATTGATGCGATGGGGGGAGCCGAACTTAAAAACTACACTATCTGATGGAAATGGAGATTTAAAAAAGCATTTGTCTTGCCTTTGCTCAGTTCTAGAAAATGATTAATCACACAGTGAAAAATTATGTTACTAATGTATTAAAATTTGAAATAACCCACCTTTCATAATCTGCTGACTGTTTTGTTCTCTTTTTACTAGGACTAGATTCATAACTCATTGTTTTGCTTTCATCCCTTAACAATTCTACATTTACCGCTTGGGGATTTATATCTAGAGACATTGGTCCAAATGTTTCTCCTTCCTCGTCCGCTTTAATTTCTAAGGGCCCAAAATTAATTATAGGGCTGATTGTATCTTTAACAGGTGGAGGGCCACTTAACCATACTGCAGACGGCCGTCTTTGTGGAACACCTTGAAACCTGGAAAAACTTAGAAATGTAAAAACACATTCAAACATTTTTGAGTACATCACTCACCTCGCAGTTTCAACTTCTTTCGCTAAACTCAAAAGCGAATGAGCATTAGCTGGTGTTTTGTGGTCAGGCCAAGAGTCGAACCAGTAATGCAACAGTTTCCTGACCTCTTCATCTTTTTGAAGCTGTACATTTCTAATAGTGTAGCCATCTTTGTTGACCACGTTGGTCACCGAAACGCTCATCTTACCATACATCACAGCCACATTTGTCTCAGTCGGAAGGTAAGCCTCACACTTAGGCCTAGATTTTTCCCAGAGCTTAGTGATCATTACTATTACTGGAGACCTCTCAGACCAAACCATTTCCCAAAGGTCATTTACTGTATTTGTCATAGGTCCCTGAGTAGCTATAAAAGCCTTCTGTTCTACATCATAACCCTAGAAATTTAAAAGACAATTTTGTAAGAATATATTTAAAAAGGTATATTTACCTGTAATAATAAATTATACCTTAATATAATTAGCATTAATATAACCAGAAAGATTGTCTGTAGAAGTATCATCAGTAGGAAGATGAACTCTTGTGTTTTCATTTGGGATCACAGTTCTGTACCTGTAAAGAAAAATTGATGTTATAATTCTAAAATAATATATAGTTTTTGAACAGCAAACCTATTTTTTGCCCAACTCCCAGGTACAAGTATTTTATCTGGATGGTTCAAGGGAAGGTCCCAAAACTCTCGGTGAATCGCTCTTACATCTTTAAGACAAGAACGTAGCTGCTGGCGAGTCAACACGTTGCTAGCAGACAGCAGATATTCTTCTGTTGTGCTGAAATAATAAAAGTTTATGATTTTCACCAACAATATAAACTTTATTTATAATTTCATTTTTAAAGAAGTATTAGCTCTCAGTAGTGCAGTTTTAATGACCAATTTATTAAATAGATTAGTGTGTCTTTGCTTGTCAATGTGAATACACGTTTGGTTCCAGAATAATTTTAATGTAAAATGTTTTTAATAATTAAAATATCAAAAATAATAATTTAGTCAAAAATTCATATATTTAGTTATTTAGAATCACAAAAGCATTGTTAGGCTTATAAGTTAAAAATACCAAATGGGCTGTGTTAAGGCCTATTAGCCAGAACAAGTGAATTGCTATCTTAACATTCAAAGCAAAGGCTAGTATTGAGAGTGAATAAATAAATCTTTTCATTAAATTATATTTGTAAATTTAGAGCCTTCTCTAAAGTGGTAACAACTTTTTTGCCCATCCATTTGGAACATCATCATCGGGAAGAATTTCAAGTACAGTCCTGTACCAGGAAGAAAAACTCAAAGCACGACCCTTTGCTAGTTTTAAATTAATTTTGAATCTACTAGTAGTAACTAAGGATTAATAATAGTTTGAAGTCTTATTTCATTTTCAACTTGCTTATAAGTTTATGGCCATTTTATTGCTACATCAAAAATAAATGTATTGATTATAATGCAATATTTTTTTCTTTTATATTTGATTTAATTTATCCATTTAAACACTTTATGACTATCAGGTAGTTTTGCTCTGCCTGCTGGGTCATGTTTGCTGTTCACGGTGTAATTTTTGTTTTATTTGTCTTTATTAGGTGAATCTGATGGTGTAGCTGTTATTATACGCTGTTTTTATTGTTTGTGATTTCAACTATGATTTAGTCCTGCAATGTCATGTCTATAGATTCTGAAATGTACCTGACTTACAAACCTAGGCAGACTAGGGATGATCAGATATTATCAAAATGCAGGTTCGTCATCTTGTGAAGGTGGGCCACCTTCAAGACATGCGGAATTGACCAAATGACGATCAAAGGTTCATTGAATCCCGACTAGTGGGATGTATGCTCGGTTACTCAAATAGTCAGTGCTCGCCTTGCTCGGTTAGTTGACAGTTTCCATGTCTTCTTCAAAGTGCACAAATATTCACTGTTCCTGGGTACAAATCCCGCATATATTGCTTATACATACGGCATACTATTTTGCAAATGCCAAGCTGAGCATCTTGACACTTGACAAATATTCGGCATTCGGAGAATCCCACATGTCTGGAGCCACCTTGAGATGTCTTCACACAATGACCCACAATAATTATAATTCTTAAAAACTTTTTGAAAATGTTAGATCGATTTTTATGCATACTTTCAACTATTTTAAAGGAAAATTTAACAGTTTGTATTAACAAAATACATTATAGTAGAAAGGTTATTATATTATTACACTTTACAGTCATACGTGCTTATGCTCTTAGCTACTTATGCTATTATATTTATTATTGTTTTGTCTACGTCTTATATGAATCTCAAAAATCCTATGTTATTATTGACATGAAAGATTGTAATTTGTCTTGTCTGCCTTACCATTCCCTCATAGGAGTAACAGCGATATTCTCTTGGTGGACTAGATCTATTGTGAGACTGGCGCTTGATCCACGTCTTTCCAGAAGTCCTTTGATTTTACCACCCCCACGACCCATTTTGCTTTCCCCACCACTAACCGCTTCAGTCACAACAGAATGAGCACTTGCACAGGGAGGATGCTGTTCTTGGGGAAGGGATTCACATTGTTCCGTAACAGTCGGTTGGATGACAGGATGACAGATCCACTGAGTAGATTCGATTTCGTCGCCTCCACCTTCTCCAGCACTAGACCTTTTTTCTTGTGAGCTCATCTGAGCCTTCAACCAAACTAAGACCTAGAAGCCAAAATATAAGTCAGTACAAAAATAGAAATATTCAATATGGAAAGTTTATATCTAACTTGCGACCACATGATTATTACAAACTCGTTTCCTTTGAGATAAACGTTTATCAGGTCAACGTGAAGGCCGCAAGTTACACTTTTTAAAAAAGTTAATGTGTATCATTGTTTTGTAAGAAACAAGTGAATACAGTTTAAAATTAATAAAAAATTCTGTTATTTTTGCAAAATGATTGCTCTTTTATTTATTTTACTCACAATAAAAGCTAAGGCGAGAGCTGAGGCAAGCGAGACTAGGACGATAAACTGCCAGTGTTCGAACAACACTGTTCCACTCTCGCCTCGCCAAGGCAAATGAATGCTTCCACTTGATAGCCCAGTTGGCATCTTGAAACCATCCTCTGCAAACAAATAACAATAATTGTATTAAATTATAGATAGCTCATTCGATCAGCAAGAAGAATATTTATCATTTTTATGTTGTAAACTGAATTAGCTTTATTATTTTCATGTTTAATTATAACAATGATTCAGATATCACAGATTGTTCAATAGATGTTTAAATTAGCCAGAAATAATAAAAGATTTAAAAGAATAATTTGTGAATAATGGAATAAAATTATATTGAAATAATAAAAGCGCTATAATGTATTACTAGTATTTGCTACAACAATTTATTTTGAAATGTATCCTCTCGAAAACTTAATTGTTCAAAAGGTAATCAGCAGGTGTTGCTTTTTATTCCCTTAAAATTTGTTTGGACAAAATAAAAATAAAAAAATTGAAAAATAACAAAAAAGTCTTTTGTTCAATTAAAATTGCTTTGGGTGAATAATAATTTGATATAAGCTAAAAGTCAACTTAGTCAAAAACTATTAATACAATATTTTGTTTATTATATCTCAACTGAGACCTCACAAAAGAATAATTAATTGAAAGAAATAATTCGGCCAATTAGAACACTAAAACATAATGGATTTTGTTTATTATTATTACTATTAAATATTATACAAGTTTTTATGGAAAAAAAATATTTACACTTCATTTAGTCAAGTTCACCTCCATTTTTGACACAATGACCACAAACAGAAAACACTGATCTGACCTTACTCATGCATGAATCACCATTTGGTATGACTAAACATAAACTGATGGTTTAAGTTGTTTTTCAAATTCAAACTGATCTCTTTCACCAATTATTACTGAATGCATTACTGCAAATTTTATCTTTCTAAAATTTTTGGTGTTTACGAGAAGCTTATATCAATTTGAGTAACACATCATTTTAGTCATTACTAAGTACTCTTAGCTACACATTTGTTTTGCAATATGATTCAACTGATCAAATATATAACTTTTTTGTTTTGTGTTATTACAAACAAAGAGATCAAATATTTTGAATAGGTATTTTATCTAAACAAAATTATATTGAGTTTTTAAGTTTACATTTCTTCTAAGCACTAGTTTTAAATGATTTTATTCATATTATTATTTTTAACTGTCATTAATCACTTTGTTCCCTACTGTTTTTTTTCACTCTTTTATTTAATGAAAAATAGGAAACATTCAATTTTTATCTTGCTCTTCATACAACCATAAAGTTCAACATTTTTTATTTTACACTAAATTCACTATTTTTCATGGTCCGCTTGACCAATTAATAACATTCAATTAATTAAGGTTTTAAGTTGAGATAAAAAAGTCAGTGTCACGAGCGGGATTCAAACCCATGACCTTCGGCTTGATATGCCGCTACTCTACCACTTGAGATATTGTGACTCCATGATTTTACACTTGATCGTGATTTCACACTAGTATGGACTTCATGAATGTACACGCACGTGCACACAAACTGTTAAAATATTGACAGATATTTGAATTAAAATATTCCCTCGGTTCGAAAATAATGTATTACAATCCCAGCAACTCTAGTCAATGGGGATAAATTTATCATGAACAATTTTAGTTAAATTATTTTCCCAATTTTACCTGACATCCAGTCAAGTATTCCTCGGTTTTGGCACTGTTTACAATAATGGTGAGTTGCATACCTGCAATAAGACATACGAACATATAACTGTTTGAGATGAAGTGAGATATATTGTTCTATGTCCACTGAAAGCGCACACTCTAGCATGCTTACCGCAAAGCAGAACAAAGGATTGTTTTTGCAGTATTTTTCCAAGCCAATGTATTTATTCATGTAAGGGGTAAGGGGAGAGTGCAAGCGACAACAACAAAACAAGGTCAGGGTACATAAAACTACTAATTTTTCGTTTGTTGAATAATTTTTTTTTTTGCATAATATTAAGCAGATCACATATTTCAAACAATTTAATTGCTAATTTAGACACTAAATTTTAACCATCTAAATGCCTAAAAACATTTTTGTGTTTTTTAATCTAAATGTAAAATAATAATAATTTGAAGTTTCTTAAGTTAATTATCATTCATATTTTTAATTAAAAAAAGTATATTTATAAACTATCTATTGTAAAACTAAAGTCCAATCCATTCTAACAATACTAAAAAAATAAACTAATTGCCTTTTTTTATTTTAACAGTTTTGTTGTAAATGGAAATTAAAAGTCAGATTAAATAATAATGCCAAGCACTTTTGACATTATTGTTGGTCATGAATTGATTTTTATTTAAGCAGCCACCTATTCAAGTTTGGCACTATAGAAGCATGCTGGTTTGCAAAGTCAGCTTTTACTAAATGTATCTTGTATGTTTTAATCTTCCAATAAAAAAATAATAAAATAAAAAAATGATAAACCTGTGCTTCCAGAAGATTGTTTAAGTAAACCATGTCATATTATTTATTATATAAGCACAAAGTATAGTTTATAATTAATTTACTTAGAATGATTTTTTTTCTTCTTTTTATTCAAGTATGAGTGTCCTAAATTGAAGTATACACTTTATTGTTTTTTATTTTATTTTAAGTATTGTAGCAAAAGTACTTGAATGAAAATGGAATGAATGAATGATTTATGTTGGGAGAAAATATCTATGATCTTAGAATTATTTCGCAGGATACATACAGTATGTTCGTTTTTCCTGTTAGGAAAAAGGAAAATGAGTGTTAAAAATTCTGATTTCATGACAATTTTATAAAGCGAACTAGGTAAATACTGTTAACAAGTGTTATTTCTGTTTAAATTGTTAGATGTATCAAGCCATTTTTTTGCTCATGATAATCTATTGTATGGCCAAATGGCTGAAAAAATAAATTCAATCGTTATATATCAAACTTTCAACCTATTTTAAGATCATCATCAGGGGTAAAACCTTAAAAATGTCTACAAATTGACATAATTAAGTTTTTAATAAATGATCTCAAATTTCTTTGAAGACAGACTCAGTCCAAACATTGCCAAGGAATCACTATCGAATTTGTTTTTTCATCCAGAGATAGAACATACAGAGATCCAGATTATTTATTACATGAAAATTACATGAACAAATTCATAAAAAATTATCAAAAACAATAAAGCTAATAATTAATCTTTTAACAATCACTTTACAATGAAACTAAATGTCATGTCGTAGCAGAAATTATTATATATATGTTGTAAACAGCACAGGTCACTGCGTATCATATAAATTAAGTGTTTGCTTTCACCTTTGTATTATTCTGCAAATAATTTAAAAAAAATATATTTATTATTATTTACCAATATCACTTATTTTATAACATCATTAAATTTAATTTTTTCTATCAAATATTAACATTTAATGTAGTTTTTTTTTGTTTTAAATGTTTTAGAATGCTTAAAAATTTAACGAGAAACATTACTTTTTTATGAGAATTTTTTTTTTAAATTCTAAAAGTAAAAATTTTATTTTTTGTAAAATGTATTTTTTAACCTGATAAAAAGGGCAAAAAAGTCCATATATTTATACAATTTCCATTGAGTCTAGGATTAGCAAAATTTAAATGTGCAAATAGCAATACTTTTGTGAAAAGTTGAGCTTTTTTCCAGTTTAGTTTCCTTGAAGACAAATGTTTTCTCACACATCTGTCAAATAGTTTTGTCTAATATTAACTATGATTTAAAAAGTTTTATAAACATACAGTAATGCCAATTAGTATACTTAAGAATGGGAAAAGATTTTTTTTAAACTAAAGACATAAAATCCGAAAGATCTTTCCAAGAAGAACAAGTAATTATATATCAAGAAGTATATACAAATGTAAACTAACTTTTGAAATAGAAATTTCCGACTTTTATTTCTCAACTATGTAATAAATAAATTTCCTAAAAGCATCAAAAAGTAATTATAGCTTTTTGACATTAACATTTTTAATTGTTCATTTTTAAAAGTGCACATTTTCATTTTTTCTTTTTTCACCATTTCTCTTTAATTTTTTTCAGTTTTTGTTTCCATCGTTATCGTTCAATGTTCTAACTGGTTTGTTCTGGTGAGAAAAATAGTAAGTAAATGATGTGAGAATTTTTTGTTGGTCCCAATTCTTTAGTGTACAAAGATATTAACATTTTGCCCAGAATGGATAAAGATGTTCTGGGCTTTTTATTTCTTAAAAATTATACTGTGTTTCTTCTTAAAACATTCTATTTCTGACTTGCAGACAGACTATTTTCCATGCGACTGTTGTAATGTTTATCATTATTTATAATATTAAATATAATCATTATTTATAATCTAATTACCATCCTATTTCCGAACTTTCACATATAGGCAAACTTTGAATAATTAGTATATGATAATATCAACCCTTAATTACGACACCTCATCGTTGATGAGGCAACATGGCTTTGTGACTCATAAATCTACCACATCAAACCTCACTCTCAATCTGCAATAACCAATTCATTTAATTCCATTTGGACACAATCTGTACTGATCTATCTAAAGTATTTGACCAAGTCAACCATGATCTACTTATAGATAAATTGGCTCCATAGGCTTTACTACTCCATCACTAAAGTGACTTAAATATTATCTTTCTAATCGGAAACAAGTAGTGAAAATAACTTCTTTTTTCATAAGATTTCGGTACTACACAAGGTGGACATTTCTCACCCTTAATATTTAATCTCCATATTAATGACCTGAAAATATTACGTTAAGAATAGCCATTTCCTTCTTTATGCTGATGATTTATAAAACTATCAAAACCCTTCAGGATAGTCTTGATCTCCAGTCTAACCTGTACTCTACTCATGAATGATATTGATGGAATTCAATGGGTTGAATATTAAGAAGTGCAATGTTGTCACTTACACTCATAAAACCTATCCCATAAAGTATGAATGTATTATAGATAATGTTCCTTCAGCAAAACTCTCTAAAATTAAAGATCGTGGTGTAATTTTCGAAAGAAAACTAAATATCCATTTGCACATCACCCATATCAAAAATATATCTATCGAGCTCTTAGGAACATCATCAGACTAACCAGTGAATTCACTGAGTCGAAAACCCTCAAAATTCTTTACTGTTACTTTGTTAGACTCCCATCTTGATTATTCCTGTGTTACCCGGTCATCACATTACAATAAAAAAATCCAACAAATAAAAAGGGTTCAGAATAAATTTCTATGATATGCAGCTTACAAACTGAAAATTCTCCAGGATATACATGACTACGGTCATATTTTGGATTCCTTTGATATCATAACTTTGGAAAAGTGGAAAATTTACTACTCTACTAATAATAATAAACTTTAATAACATAAACTAAAAAACGAAATATTCTTTATTTCTGCCCATAAGACTAATCTTATAAAAGAAAGCCCCATTAATAGGTTAATACACACAGCTAATGCTTATCCACACCTCTCATACCAAGACAATATTAGCATTTTTTAAAAATCAATTTCTGCACTCAAGATTTAAATGTTCAGAACAGTTTATGAACTATTTTCATATCCATTTTATGCATGTCTCATTATTGTTCTATTAACACATAGCTTTGTTTGTTTAATTATTTACAATTATATTTACTATAGTATGCTGGTTACCTTGGATATTACTAATAATTATATTTTTCAGTTGTTTTGTTTGTAGTCTATCAATTATATAACTGCATATATTTGCAGCTATGTTTTATTAATAAATCAGATTTCCATTTATTTGTTATTTTATTGTAATTCTAGTTAAGTTGTTTCTTTAATTAACTATTTATGTTTTGTAATAAATCTCTATATTAGGACTCCTAAGTATATTTGTAACTATTATATTATTCCAATTGTAGTATTATTTTAATAGGCTTTGCTGTAAAATAAATAAATAATTGGATAAAGAAAGAAAATAAAAAAATTATTACTATTATTATTATATTATTTCCATCTGAAAAAGAAGTGCTTTTGATTTTGTTTATTTACACAATTTGTCATTGGTTCGAAGAACTTATTTGAAAAATTTTAAGTTGAACACACCTGTTGTCATTATTTTTTTTTCTTTTTGACACTTTGTTTATTATTTGGTCTTCTTAAATTATAAATCGAATTATGTACTTTTTTTATTTGGAGAAATGCAAAACCTGTATTTACTGTTTGTACACAAATATTATTTTGAATTTAACCTGAATGGTGGCTTTTTGAGTTAAGCTTTGTTTTTCTTTTTTTAATAGTGGATTTGTATATAACATATTTATCAAAATTATTATAAATTGATTGAAAGAAACCCTTGGTTTCTTTGTTTATCCAATTTGTCAATGTCCCTTGTGATTATTTTTATGAAAGTTCGATGAACACGAGAAGTTTTGCAGGTTTCTTACAAGAGATATGTTTTGGGCTTAACATAGAAAAGGTTTGCGTAGTTTTAACGGAATAAAAAAAAGTCGTAAATTTATTATAGTTATTCATATTACATTGACTCAAGGGCGAAATTTAAACACAAAAAATAGTAGATGTCGTGCTTACATTTTTCTGATTTATTTATTTTTATTTTACAGTTTAATTTTTTAACATGTAGACGCCCTTGTTTTCAACTGCCAAATAATAATTTGTTTAGTTCAGCCTTAAAATCTAGTTTGCTTTTATCAGAATAGAAAGGTACATGATAAAAGTAAAAAGAAGTATTAAATAAAATCCTACAAGTAAATTGTACAATTTTTATTAGATTTGTATTCTTAGAACTAAATAGTCACGATTCCAGAGTAATTTTTTATTAATAATTGTAATAAATTTATTTTAATAATTTTTGTATATTTATTTTACTAAATAGTGGTTTATAATTTACCCAACACCTTTATCTTGGCCAAAATTTGTTTTGTTTACTAACGTTTTTCTTAAACCCAAATGGGTTTTTCCAGTATTTATCCATAGTGAATCTTCATTATCACAAAAATCTTTGTTGATCATTGGATGAAGATTTTTGAATTTCATCTATTTGTCATGCTTTTTAATCTACATTTGAAACTCAAATAAGATTTCCTGTGTTTATTCATAGTAAATAACATCTTTATCAATCATCGTACATCAGCAGACATTTCAATTTATTATGATGGTTTATTTCCAGTATTTATCTATCGTGAATATCTTCAATATCACATAAATCTTTATTGATCATCGGATGGATGGCTGTTCAATTGCATCTATTTGTCATGTTTTTGAACATATATTTTTACCTAAGATTTTCACGAGTTTGCTCATAGTAATCATCATTATCCCATAATTCTTTATTGACCATTGCTCGTCAGTCGACTTTTCAATTTATTATGTTGTTGAAAATTTGAATTTAAAACCAAAAACGGATTTTCCAATATTAATCCATAATGAATAACATATTCATTATCACAGAAATCTTTAGTGATCATTGTTCATTATCCCGAATTTCTTTATTGAGCATTGCACGTTAATCGACTTTTCAATTTATTATGTTGTTGAAAATTTGAATTTAAAACCAAAAAAGGATTTGCCAATATTAATCCATAATGAAGAACATTCATTATCACAGAAATCTTTATTGATCATTGTTCATTTGTAAACCTTTCAATTTCTTCTGTTTTAGCATAAACGTAGTTGCTTTCGTATATGTGCATATTTAAATCACATGTTTCAAGCTAGGTTTTTATTTCTTCAGTATCACAAAAATTCTTAACCAATCACTAAATATGCAGAAGCATACTTTTCATTATAATATTTCTTTCTTTTTGGTTGTTTGCCTATAGGTTTGTCTCATTAATTTACTCCTATATCCCTTTTTTTTTTTAAAATGATATTTGTTTTTCTTTACCCTCAATTGTGACGTTTCGCTTCGTAACGACAATCATTGATCACGGGAAGGACAAAAAGAAACAATAAGTAATTATGGTAAAAGGTTTTTCAATCTCACGATTTCCGTTTTTATCGAGTTTTCTTGAGTTATAAAAGTTTGGTTTGTTTATATGCGAGTTTATTTTTGTAATTTTTCATTTATGATTGAAGGAACGTTTCATTGAAAAGTTGTTTATTATGTTTACGTTGGGTGTTTATATGAGGGGGGGGGGAATGGACAGGATTATCAATGAGTGGTAGAATTGTTTTGGTGTAATAATTGTAAATACAAAACGTGTAGTTGAGAAATCGATTGTCGGAAACGATAACAGGCTGAGTATCAGTGACACTGGTCAGCGAAGTGACGTGACGTGAAGTGAAGAGGATCCGCGCTGCTGTAAATACCGTCGGCTTCGACTGAATGGGATGGACGTTCATGAATGAAAGGGAGCGAGAGGGTGCGAACTGAATCTGCGGCGAATGTAAAATAATTACGCCCTCACCTGTAAATTGATTGTCGCTTCGCGTGAAGAACTGGTGATAACGGAAGGGAGTTTTGTGATTCTCCATTAGCCGAGGATTATTATTATTACGGGCAGGACGTGAGCTGCTGGAGGGCCGAAAAGTCTCTGGCTCTCCCCTTCCTCGACCTCATCTCGTGCGTACTACTCGAGTCTATCTGAAATGTTTACATTTCACGTGAATAGATGAAAAAAGGTGAGCCCGTCACTTTGTCAAACGGTCCCCGTCGCATATCCCTCCGATCCTCGATTCATTCATCCGGCACTCCTCCACTACCTACATCACTTTATCGATCTCTCATTCGCCTCGTGAACGAACTCCCGTCTCTAATGAGCACAACACCGGCTGGTTCAAGCGAGCCTGTCGACATTACCGTCGAGGAGGAACAGGAAAGCGATTAACAACACGAGAATCTCCGTTGAACCGGGGAGGTTCGTCCGAGGGATTTTCGTGCATTTGAAATGCGCCGTAGCCATAATCGCCCTCCTTCGCCTCCCTCTTCGGCTCTTCGCCTACCAACTGAACGACGACGGATTTACCTCAGATTTTCCCTTTCGCCTCCCACCTTCGCCCCTCGTTCCATTCATTTTACACCCCATTTACTCCATTCGGCCCCCGACCCCCTTAGGTTCGGTCTTCTTTCATAAAAAAATATCACCGTTCGCTCGGCGAGAAATCCGGCCGCAGACTCGCGTCGAGAAGTCCCGCACGGGATTTTTATTCTCCCCCCCCCTTTAATCCAGCCGGCATCGCGTGCAAGAAGTCGAAAGACAAAAATCCCCCTGGGGGTGAATTGGAAAAAAAAGAGAGAGAGAAGTAGAAGAAGATAAGTGAACGAACACTCTAGTATGGTCTTGAAGAAACAAGCACATTCAGTTGTTACTGCCAAGCTTTCGACCTCTTTTAAGGTCATCATCAGTGCAAAATAAAATTATATTTACCTACAGATTGACACACTTACAGGCAACAAATACCATTTTCTCGACAAAAGAAAATTCTGCCCTTAATTTGTTTCATTACCAATAAATATTTGTTTATGCTGTTTTAAATTGGGAATATCAATTAGAGGTAAACGCACTTAATCCTTAATCCAAAACAAGGATAAAGGATTTTTCAATATTTACTTTTTACGGAATTTAAAATGTTTATTCAGTCTCATTTGAATTATGAAACAGACTGTTTAGTTTTCATCTTTGTTTTGTTAATTACAATTTTTCAACTTAAAAATTCCACTTCGTGCTGAGGATGTTGCGCGTGGTGTGGCACTTTCTCATGATGGACGTTCCATCAGGTATGCGGTTATACCTACGAAGTCCCGTACGAAACTCTGCGAGACGCCGTTGGATGTTTTCGAGAAATTGGGTCCTACCATAGAATTGACCAGAACACATGGAGTTGCACGGTTCGCATTTGCTCGAGAACAGAGCCATTGGTCTTTTGACGATTGGTCTGCTGTACTTTTTACAGATGAGTGTAGATTTGTTCTGTGGTTTTCAGATGGGCGTGAAAGAGTGTGGAGAAGGCGAAATGAAAGGCACGAAGCCTGTAATTTTTCCCAGAGGCCGACCTTTTCAACGTAGCTCAGTGATGGTGTGGGCGGGAATTTCATTGGATAGTCGCAAAGAGTTGGTTGTCGTTCGTATAGGGTCTTTGACTGCCACTCATTATGAGGATGAAATATTGAAATATCACGCGTTCCTATCCTCGATGAAATCAGCGATAATCCTACTCTAATACACCGTCGACATGTCGCTCGCATCGTACAAACGTACCTTCAACAGCATAACCTCAGTGTACTCGTTCTCCAGGCTTGAACCCTACAGAACATTTATGGGATAACCTCAAAAGACGAATAAGAGCACGTCCATCATTTCCTGATACACTCCACGATCTGGAAAGGACTCTTCGTGAAGAACGGGCTAATCTCCAGCAAACAGACATTTCCAGACTGGTAGCCGAGTCGTATTCGGGATTTAATTAAGGCAAGAGGAGGAAATACATGATGTTGATATGTTAATTAAAAATCTAAAACAAATTTTATCTTTCTGTCTTTTTTTTTCATTTTCCTTAGCAATTTACATTTCATTTTTGCTTTTTAGACAAAGACTCAATTGTTAGACGTTAAAAAACGTGAAACTTTGATTAATATATAAAAAATATATACAAATCAAGTTATATCATAAATGGGTGGAATTTTTGCCCGTCAGTGTACTTAAGTTATTTACAGGATCTCAAATTTACTTGCAGACCGATGAAGTCCTAACTTAGCCAGACTGTAGACAACAGTGGCAATGTTAGGACTGAGTCGGTCTTCAAGGAAATTTGAGATCCTGTAAAAAACTTAAACATATCAATAAAAAGTTCCGAAAGTAAAAAAAATAGGATGAGAAATAAGGGAAATTTTGAAAAATGGTAAAGGAAAACTGAAGGGGAAAGTGAGAGGCGCTCACGGGAGAGGTTGTAAAAGAAAAGAGAGAGGTGAGGTCGAGAAGTGGCTTTTTTAGGGCCGATAGATTCTAACTGAGATATGGACAAATAGGAACTGGCCCTGTACTGCCTGTACTGTATCAGAAAAGAAAAACCTTCATAAGATATCGTAAGTATGTAGATAGATATACGTAAGTCGTACAATACCGGACACTTTTAGATCTGTGTTGTGATGAACCTGCAGTTTGGTGGTTTCCGATCGTTTCGACCTACCAATCCTCGCTGTTTTGGTTTGTCAGACCCAGCACCGAAGATAAAACCAGATACCGAAAGGTGGTTGACCAAACCAACGAGAATAGGATGTAGCTGTTTAACTCATTTAAGAAGTTGTAGTTTAATGGTTTCCGATCATTTCGAACTACCAATACTCTTAGCAATATGATAGCAAACCTGGTCGACGTACAAAGCTGAAGGCCACAAAAACCATCAGAGGAGATTAGGTATTAGCCACGTCAATTGATTGAATGGGTTATTACTTGTACAAAAGGAAAAATAACACTAATTCCTTTACTAATCAAAATATATGGAAGCTGTCTGGCAATGGGATATATCCCAAGCAGTTGGAGTACTGCAAAAGTGGTCTTTATTTCGAAACCTGCTTGTAACAACTATATAAAGGCAAAGGCATACAGACCAATTAGTGTAACGTCCTTTTTGACCTCAGAATGGGGCCACCAAAAACAAAAAATAGACGAACTCCAGAGGTGCCAGTAAGAATCTTATGATTAAAGATCCCTCACCAATACTGGTAAACACATTACTCCATCTAGTGAAGGAAAAATTCAGGGGAATGATAGGACTATACACTGGTAAATATTACACAATATTAAATGATGATTCCATTTGTAGGTTATGGAATGAGGAGGAAGAAACTGCCACCCATATAGTCTTCGAATGGGAAGAAACCGCTCAAACGAGACAACTTAGGATGTCAAAAAGATCCGGGCAAAAACTATAGCAATGACGTACTACTTCTTAAGAGAAGGATCTAGTCAATTGAACTGAGGACGTATGAAACGTACAATAAGCCTGAGGGCTGCAGTGTTTAGGAAGTACAAAACTCCCTAGCATTCCATCATCACCAACACCTCGAGGTTTGGTCTGTCAGGCAGCACTGAAGATTACTAGAAGCCCAAGGGCGTTTGACCAACCCAGCGGCGAAAGGCATATCAAAATCGAAAACTACCAAACTACCTAAATGATTTAAAAAGTCACAATTTGGTTATAAATATCAGGTATAACTTTTAAGGAGTTCAGAAAAAAAAATTAGTCGAGTGAAGGAAAATTGCCCAGGGGAAATTCAGTGAATAAACGCGGACACTGCCAAAGTTACGAGGATATCTTCAACCTAATCTAAATAACATTTCATCTGATGAGATGCTGAAAAGCAAACGACCTTCACCAGATCACCCGAGTTTCTTTGTCAAACAGGCAATTTAAATATTATTGGCTTAAAGAACGCCATTTGTAGCATCACTTTGTTTTCAAACTTCAAATACGCTCCTAAATAAGCAAACAAGTTACAAAATTTATTCGATTTGTAACTTATTGCTTGTAAGGGGCTAAGATAAGATTTAACCGAGTTAAGTTTAACTACCCAAAAGTAATCAGCGATAAAAAATTAACCTGCCAAATGCAGGACATTTTCAATCTAATGTAGTAAACAACGTTTTGTGAGTATCAACACACGAGAAGAGAAAAACGGGCGACCTTCATAAGATCAAAAGTTACTTTATAAAACAACTCACTGGAAATACCTCATCGCCTAATCCTGATATGGATAAGTTCTATTCTAACAATAAAAACAAGTCGTCGAACCCTACTTTTAACAATAAAACCCGACGATGGACGAAAAGAGGAAGAAAGGAAGCAGTCTATGGATTAAAAAAAGCTTGAAAAACAAGTTGTATGATGTGTTAACTCAATACTCTTTTGACGTTTTTCTTTAAAATTATTACAAGTTTTTAAGTTTTGTTAGCTTAAAGTATGACATTTGGGTCCTCATTGAGCTTACAAACTATACGTAATTTCTTAAATAACTACAAAATTCAAAATGGGTTTTAGATATTTGGTTATTATGGCTAGTGAAGCTGGGCAAGATCAGCGAGACAACGCGGACCCTGCCAGAATCAGATCGACAGTATTCCAACAGGATGTAGAATGATCCTCGTTTTAGCTTCCAACAAGGAGTGAAAATAGAAAAATCGACGTTTTTACAAACTAAAGTTATTTTGAAGCTTTGCTCTTTATTTTAATTTTGTTTTTTTGTCAAGAAAAATTCAATTTTGTTGTCTTATCGGTTAATGTTTATTTTCTCATCATTCAACTAATTAAGAAAATGGTTTTTATACATAATTTATCAAGAGCTCCAGTCTTAAGGAAACGGCTAAGGTTCTTCGGTCTAGATTAAACTGTTTAAAGTACAAATTGAGCCGTGTATATGTAATTAATTGGTAAAATATGATGATGGAGCCGATGGGCTGTCGAACTGTTTAATCAAGATCTGATCAACGCTCCGCCTATTTTCGCTGTCGGTCTCAAAGTCAAATTAATCTTGAATCAACGCATTTTCAGCAAGAAGAAAATGTCATAACAGTCCAGTATGTTGAATATGTTGGTAGATAGCCAACAGCCAGCTGAACTAGAGGGTTGATCAAAAGATTATGAAGAATCTAGATCTTTATCATATACAAATAAATCCTTAAATTTTTCCTATGGTAGAATCGAATGAAATTAAATGTTCAAGTTATGAAATCATTACAAAAGTGGTCAAAAAATTGGACTTCAGGAATGTACTTGTTTTATCAATGCTTCGCTGGATAGGATTTATTTTGGAAAAAATTATTTTTGGCCCAACAATTTGTCATAGCAACAGAATATACTATTGGAAGAAAGTACCAACAATAGATCAGACAAGTAGATTTCTGTTTTAATTGTCGAACAAATCGTTCTGCAGAAAGTAATTTTTTGATCATTCTGTTGATTCTTACTTAGTGTCGGGTCCGTTTTATGGACTTTAATATTATCAAAGAATTCTAACAGTATTCGTTTTTCTTGTTTTTTTGGGACCGTGCGATTGTTAAGTACAGAATTCGAAAAGAACTCAGTTGTTATTAAGACATTCGGCCTTTACGGAGGAAGTCGTAAGTGGGCTTTTTCAGTCGCGTCATTTATCCAGCAGATAGATATCCATGGGATCAACGCCTAGCATTGAAATGTTATTTATTATCAAAGCGACGTCCGTCCGACCTTCGTTTGAATCCTGAGGACAATGGACATCCGGCATCAAAGGACGGGAATCGCTTTACACCGTAATTCGAACGGTATTTGTTTTAAAATTGACCTATCTTCAGACCCACGGTTGTTGTTTTTTTCCAACATCTAAAAGTAAAAACTCACATTTTCCCTTTATCTATGTTTTCGGGCCTCAATGGTGTTCGTAAGCCCGTGGTATAACTCAATTGAAGATAAACCCGGGCTGGATCTGATGTATTCCAGAGATTCCTTTCTAATATTTGTCTGCCCTGACCTGTGTACAACATATTCACT